AGAAGGATTTTAAGTCTATGCCTTAAAGCTCTTCTCCAAGAAGAAATGTTCAAAATACTTCTTATGTAGGAAAGAATCTCACAAATGCCTCCTTTAACATTTCTGTATTTTTTTTCTGGTGTGGGGCCAATACCAGAAAGACAGTATGGAGGTGCTAAAACCTGAAGCCTACCTCTCAGAAATCAGGAACATAAGCAGCTCTACAGAACAGAGTCAGCCCTATCTTTTTTGAAAGTCAATTTCTGTAAAATAATTCAGCTTCCAAGATGAAATTAATGTTAACAGAGTTCTAAAAACATGTTTTGGAGGTTTTGTAAACCCCCTTTAAAAAGGCTTCCTAAAGAACCGAAGATTTTTCTTCTTCTGTGTCTTAATAAAAAGACATCGCAATAAGGTGGCTATATTAAGGAAACCACTGTGCAAAATGGTGATAAGTGTTTTGACTGCCTCTTGGATTTTATTTACAGTAATTAACTGTATTATTTGCAACATGTTGCAATGTTTTTGCAGATTAAATATTTGTTTTTCCTCCTCAAACTGGTTTGTGCTTTTACACATACAAAATGCTTGGTTGGGTCCTACAACAGAGAATACTCTCTCTCCCCCCGCCCCTTTTTCAGAGATAAGAGGAAAAAAATTCTTTCAACTCCTCTTACCCGAGTTAGAATTTGTATAATCTGGGATGCAGCCATTACAGATGCCTGACTGCAGCAGACTGGTCAAATACGCTGAAGTTAATTTAGAGATAACAGAATTATCATGTTAATAATTGTATCTGTCCAAAATATCATATGACAACTGTTGCAGTGTTACGTTGAAGTAACAAAATCCATACTTTTTTTTTTTTAAAAGAAGTTTTTCCCCAGGAAGGGTTGTTTGTATGGTTCAAGTGCTAGTTCTGCAACAGACTATATTAATCTTGAACGACGCACTACGTTTCTCCTTGATTTGCATGGTGGAAATAAAATGTAAAATATGTTTGAGTTACCTTGCAGACTGTTGTGCAGACAGACATTTTCTGCCTTCTTGGAAACACCAGGATAGATCACTGAAATGCCAATCCAGGTCCAACCTGCATGCATGGATCCCATGAAGAACGATGAGGCACCGAATCTTACGATCCCTTGGAGTGCGTTCGGGGTAGGCACCACAAGTTTTGCTGTACAGCACTCCACTGGAGCGACTAAGATCCTACACGGCGTGAAGGTGGTGTAAGGTACTGCAGTAAGTCGTATCTTGGCCCCATGGCTAAACTACAAATGAGGATTTCCACCTGATACCACGTATAATAAAAGCACATGCAACACAATTTACGGTTGTATGCTATCACTATGGACTTCAACACTGTCAAAACATACTGCCATACAAAACATACTATAAACTTAGACGTGTGAATTTTTTTACACATGTAACAAGAATGTCACTTTTACAGGACTTTGTTCTGAAGGAAATCTGGTTTCATTTTACCTGAGCGTTTATGTTTCAATTTTACTAGTGCCACTGCTGTGGATACGTCACTTTTCTTTGTCTGAATAAAGTTTTTTGCATTTCTGAAAATTCTGTGCCTGTCAAGAAAGCATGATTCATTTTTTTATTGATCCTGCGCAGTTGCTGGGCCTGTCAGTACCCGAGATGGAACCGCAGTACTCTGTGCGGGATTCCTGTACGTGTGTAACTTCATATGGCGTGCTACTGCTAATGAACATGCAAACATCTTTCAGAGTGCCCATCTCTTCCCTACTTTGGCACCTGCACAATTATACCTTTCAAGTACACCTCTCACCACATTATCACTTCAATTACCAGTTTTAATTGTCAAGGAACGACTGTGTGTGATCTACTTAGTTTCTCCTGAACAGTCTTTGGGCTGCTAGTATCTACTCTATGGCCCAATTACGAAGGTCGGAAGCTCAAGGTGTATGAACAGGTGTATCCTATCACAACCCTACTCACTTCTGACATGTGTCTGAGTCTTCATCGGTTTTGGTTATTTATACAAGAAAAATAAAATAAAACAAAATAGAGAGGGAGCACGTGCACACATGCAAGAACAACTTCCTTTGTACTTTCATGTGGCCCCCCGGATGCTACCCTCCCATCTCCCACCCCTCAGATTTACAGATTTACCCAAAATACAATGTCAACAAAAAAAGATGGTTTATTGGACTAGACTAAATGATGTAATGCTTAGACACTATTTGTATTAACAATGCTGTTGCAGAGGTACATAAAATGATACACGGATTTTTTTTTTCTGCCTGTAATTAAAGTCTAAGCACAGGAAATAAATGACAAAAAGGGCATTTGATGCTTTCCAAGTCACATAGCTTTGATAGACTATAAAAGACCTTGCATACCCAATAATTTAAATATAATTTCAACTTTTTGTGCCTGCTGAATTCATTTTCTGCCTTTGAGTTCTCTTAAAGCTATAAGAATTATAAACTATTAGAGCTTGGGAAGTACAAAGTTGATCAGATTCGTAACAAAAATGTAGAGACAACCATTACAAAATACTGTCCTATAAAAGGTATGCCACATTAACTTATTTTGACTCAGAGCATGATTGGCAGCTGCAGAGTTGGAATAACACTATGAAAAAACCTATGAAGCAACATCAAACAGGTCAGATCAGGTTTTTTTTCTCTTTTCCTATCAATACATCTCTCATTACAGTACCATTGTGTCTGTGCAGTGGATATCCCAGATGTCACATTTATTTCTCCTTTTTTTGCCTTCAACATTTATCGGAATTGTCACATCCAAATATTTTGGGTAATGTATTCAGTTTAACCCAACAATGCCAATTAAACTGCATTGACAGTGCTTGGCTTTTGTTTGTAAAGTTGTGCTGAATGAAATTCCAGACACCACTGAAGACAATACACATGACATACGTATATTTACAAAACATTCCACCAGTTTCATGGCACAGATGGATTATGCATGAATCCCAACAAGCAATCACATCACTAAAATTTTTGATAAAAAACCGACTGCCATTTCTGCCATCTCTGTTTAGCACTGTGGGCAACAAAATATTTGGACAAGCAACAGGTTCAATGGATCCACAACCAACAGAAAAAGATCCAGACAGCGATTTAAATACATTTCCATAACAGGTTATATGTATTAAAAACCAAACCAAACAAAACCAAACCCCAATGCATCCTGATCCTGGATTTTTCTGTGCACACCAGATGCACCTACTGATTGTTTGCATCTATATCCTTGGAGGAATATGGCATCTTCAACCTAATGCATTAACAACATGCACATACAAATGCTTTTATGCATATTCCACAAGAGACTTCTCATCCACAAGACAAGATAAACAGTACAACATATTGAACAGTCTTTTTTAAATCCTACTTACCATCGCCTTGTCAAAAAATGCATTATGCTAATATACAATGAGATTTTTTTAAAAAATAAATGAACAGTAATTGCTCAACAGCAAGTATCAGATGTATTCTCCAGAGTTCTTTACTGATCAGTCAAATGAATACAAATTAAAACAAAATGAAATAAAATTCAGTCCTTCACTTTAAACGAGAAAAGACGAGTAAAATAACTTTCTGGCAGTACCACAAACCACAGACTGTCACAAACGTAGTGCAAGAACTGGCACGGATTAGAATTGAGAAACTGAGACCAATAATCTACAAGTACACAAGTATTGTGAAGAAATTCTAGATGAGCCATGAAAGAGCAGTTTTAATCCAGTTGCTTACAGGGAGCAATCTGGCAGAGGTCAGCATCAAAGCCTGGTAAAAAGTAGTATTGAAGTATGCAAATATATAAAAATTATGTCACAGAATTTAATTTTTCTGGCTGAAGCAGCCCAATGTTTACCAGTGATCATAAGACAAGGTAATGAAGCAGACCTACCCTCTCTCTTACAGGATCACAGAAGTATCTGGTGGGAAGCTTCATGAATAGCTTTGCTCTGGCACCAGGTTGTGCTTTGAAGCTGAGCTCTAATGTAGAGATCTGCTGCAAAGCCTTTGCCTTATTCACATAAGCAGAACTTTCAAAGAAAGATTTCAAATCTTCCAACCATATAAAAATGTTTTTATTTTCATTTGCTCTCCCCTTCCTCACAGTTCCCCCCAGAATACATTAATGGTCTCTCATGGAAGTACACCTCACTCTTTACCAAAGAAGCAAAGAAAAACCAAAACATGCACAGTAGTAATAAAATATCCAAATAAAAACTTAACGCAAGGAAATGCTGCAGAAAGAATTCCTCTGGTTCTACATCAAAACCAAAACCAAGCTGTCTGGGCTGTAAAGTTTTACCCTGTATTGAGAGGCACCAAAGCTTTTAGAGAGATGTGTGTCCTAACCAAAGACGCACTACACCGATCTAGCTCACTTTAGAACAATCAGAGGTTCATTCACTGAATGAGATCTGAGTTCTGGTAAAATGCGGTGACACCAGCTGCTGAAGTAGAAAACTAGGAGTCTTGTCAGACCTTCAGGAAAGACAGCAGTGGGGGTGGGGGGAAGACCTGGAAATATCAAAGATTTCTCCTGTGCGAGAGCATTATTTCAGTTACAGTAAATAGAAGAAGCCAGCTTACAATATGACAAGCGTAAGCCAGCTTTGGCACTTGTGTTACTGAAAATAATGCGGTGACTGTTCCCAACTCAGCAGGCAACCAGCTGTGAAGGTTTATTTGCAACAGTGACCACTTGAGCAGCTAGGCATTTCTTATCCCAGGGAAAGCTTGCTTACTATCTGTAAAGCTACCCAAGTCCAGCTGTTATTACACAGAGGCATGAGGTAATCATTATTTCCAGAAGAAGAATTAACAGGATGCCAAGGGTGACACACGAAAAATGATGGGGTAGAATTTTAAAATACATGAACAACTAGGGGGTTGTTCTACATTGTCTTTTTCCATTTTAAGCCCTGTCCAATGAAAGACAGTTTAATAGCATGAAGTGCAAGTTTTCTTAAACTGGCTCAAAAAAAAAATCACTGGAACAATCAAACCCTGAACATTGCCTAATTAAATGAACACGTCTCTCGGGAATGACAGGGGCAGAGACCATACTTTTTGTAGATCAAACCTGAGCAGAGATTGGATTTTGTTTCTTTTCTGTAAATAGACAAAACAAGTATTTCAAGATACAGCTGAAATGGTGTCAAAATAGAGACGACCCAGGTCACAATCAGAATTTTGTATATACAATTCATATTAACTTAAAAAAATAAAGAAGTTTAAAATACGTCCAGAGAACATTCTAGGTTAGCAAAATGTCCTGTACAAAAGTAGGCCACATCTGTTGGTTTAAAAGAAGTCCATAGCAGTTGGTCTCTTCTTAGCTGATATAGTAAATGGTTTCTTCACTTGAGGTTCTCCTGCTGGGGTACCTGTGGGTGACTTCAGCACCCCATGACGGGGTTTCTGTTCAGGATTGAAAGCCACACGGGAGGGTCCTTCTGGGCTCACTAATATACTTTTGTCAGTCTTTTTAAATTCTGTTGAAAAACAAGCAAACAAGTTAAAAGAAATACAACTCCTGGAATAATTGCGCCCGTCAATCAATTGTGGAATTGTCCAACCCTGGAAGTCTGCCTTAGATGCTTAAGTCCATCACTAAGGATCAGAAGCCCAAGACTTCACAAAAAAATGGAGAGATGGCGGTGAAGCACATCTCTTAGCAGAGTCCCTCTGAGAATGGCGTCTATTGCAATCCATAGAGAGGCTGTGAACCATTCCCCATGGTTTCACAGACCACCGGAGACTCTGGGCCTACTCCTCAGAAACAGGTGTTCCAGCTATCCTGAAGAACACCACACTTAAGTTTAAAAGATGACAATAGGTAAGAAATAGCTCTACTCTGACTGTTAAACAGCACTGTTCTAGAGACTCTTGGTTATCCCTTCCGCCAGCAGGTAGGCATTTTTTTTCCTCTTTGTGCAGCTGTGTTATATTAACATAAAGACATATATCTAAACCCACTATTGTCCATTTGAACTTGGGCTATAGCACACCTCAGAGAGTTAAAAAAAAATACCTAAATGAATACATGGAATAAACTTTTATGCTACGGAGCAAGACATTTATTTATCAGGGAAAACACTGTCTACTTACATGTGGGATCCAGAAGGGAACTGACATTTATCTACTCGTTACTGTTAATAAACCACCAGGCAGCCAAGATAAAACTGAAACTTTGCTACTACACATCCTGAGCTCATCAGCATATCAGCACCATTGTCCTGCAGAACAGCAGTGATCAATAAGGACTGAAGTGCACGTGTTTCCCTAAGACGTGCCCGGTAGAACAGGCGCCTCAGGAAGGAGAGTTTGTCACTCTGCTGCACTGTTTTCTATCTGTAAGGCTCATCTGCAAGTCAGTACTGCAGCACCCTGGAATCGCGCAAGTCTAGCTGTTGGGCCAAGTGTCCTAAACTTTACCATCTCTTCTGGACAGGAACTTGAGGATGGTTTGTAAACTATACACAAATATTGAGGCAAAAAAGGATCAGAATCATCCTGTTCTAGAGAGGTGAAGAGCATAGGTGTGTATGAGTGCGTACAGCTTCCCCCTTCCTCGGCTACAAGAGAGACTGTGGAGACACATAGATGTATTAGACTCACCAGCAGTCATGTTTTTATTCAAGCCAAATGTGACTTTTTTGGAGCTGGACGACTGCAGCTTGTTCAGCTATAAAGCAAAATAAAGACATGAAATGAAATAAGATTTCTGAGGCAATGCTACGAGTTCTTTTACCTGCATCCCATCAAAACTGATGCAAAGCAGCCTACTTCCTTCATTTGAGTTAGAACTCCCCCAATCCTCTAGCTAAGGCAGCGCTCTCCTCCTAGCCAAAAGCAAACATATTCCATTTGCAGAGAAACCACATACTCTCCCTAACATCATTACGTAATTCAACAACAAACAAGAAGATATTTGTGTATCAAATACACTGGCCTCACTGTACTCAGGCCTCAAAGTGCAAAGAAGGCTTGAAAAGATACTATATGTTAAAAAGGTTTAGAAAAGAGGGCAGTCTTAAAGCCCTGCACTGTTGCCAGCCTCCACAAATGGGAAGAAGTGGAGGCTCAAAGTCCCTTAGCAAGACTGAAAGTCAGTTTATGCTTCTGCTTTCTTGTGAAATGAGTGGGTTCAGAATAGTGTCCTTTCAACAAGAAGGTATTTTTGAAAGCAGGAGGGAAGGAAGAAGAGATTTTAAAGATGCCTACAACTCATTTTCTGAAACTCTGGAGCCATGTGTGACTGTCTACAAGGAAGTGCAACAGCATTTCCAGTTGTATCTGCCCAGTGTTAGGAGACTAACGCAGAGTGGAAAAGACAGCATGAGCGAAGTCACGCCCTTTGCTTGGGCAGGTAGCTTGGTAAGAGACCTGTGCCCAGATTCAGCTGCCATCTGTGAGACCACATTACCTGCATGGATGCCCTGGTGGAAGTGATGGCACTCCTGGCTTTCCTGAAGAATACTGGCTTTGGTAAAGTTGATTTTTCAAATTTTACAAAATCACTTCCTGGTTTTGCTTTCTTTTTCTTTAATGGTGATAGAGCAGCGCTGCTTTCCTATAAAGGAGGGAAAGGAAAAAATGCTCTCAGCACAGAAGTACTGTAGTTAACTATACCTAGTACAGTGAGCAGTGCTCAGAGCTTACCACATGCAGCTTCTGTAAATATTGCCACAGCTGAGAGAGAGCTACTTGGTACTTATATAAGCTAATCATCATGGTTAACTCTCAGGAGTTAATTTTGCATTTGGCATGAGTGAAAACAGAAGTTTAAGCCAGGCTCTGCACAGAAATAGGAAGGTCATTGCAAAGCAAAGAAGGAAGAACCCGTCAGAGTGCAAACAAAGATATTTTCTTTATGTGCATGAGGCCGCCTTACATTTGACCCAGCTCTCCTGCACACAAGCGCTGATGTTTTTTTCTTCTTGCCTTTAAGCAAAATCTCTTCTGTGGTAACTCTGGATGGATAAGATATGCAACTAATGAACAAACTCAGCTTTAGGCTAAGATGGAGACTTTGGAGAACAACAAGTGGAATATGAAGTCCGTGTACACTCTCCGAAATCCAGCTAGTGTATATTGCTACGAGTTCGCTGCCTCAAGTTCATACTGAGTATTGCCATTTAAAACAATCCTTCTCTCCGGCACAAGGGAATTCTTAGGACCTGTATTGGCAGTGCTACTAATGAAATGCACCACACTCCAGAGCTTTCCCACCTGTCGTCTATGGGCGCCAGATATCTGTGGACCACTATGAGGGGAAGTTCAGCTATGCTTCACATCGATGAAGATGTGAAATTACTACAGCGGTTCACAGCTGTGCTGTGGAAAGTGTCCAGGGATATGGCCTCTTTCAATTTGAAAATCACTTCTGCTTTAAATAAAGTGAAAAAGCATAAGTCTTTTAGCTTTCTGAATTCTGGAGACAACTGTGACATAATCATAGAAACATAGAATCGTTAAGGTTGGAAAGGACCTTTAAGATCAT